ATTCATTAATTTATATTTCACTCGTGGATGTTGGAGCCGTGGCGCAATTACAGCACACCAGGGCTTCCAAGCCGATAACCCGAATTCGATGTCCAAGCCACGAACAGCATCAGCTGGCGAGTGATTTCTTAACCGGTCTTGGCTACCCACCCTGTCACCAACTCGCGCTGATCAGCACTGGTGAAGTGCGATTCAGCAACTCTCGTTACTGAGAGGCATGGGGTGGCCTTGATCCAGCGGTGAATTGAGGGGTGCGCTAATGAACGTCATTATTTTGACTCTTTGGGTCAAAAATACAATAACAAAAAGAACGGTATTTTTGTTCTTTCCGAATGAGTGAGTCGTTATACGCGATTATTTTTGTTTGCGGTTTCGTTGGAGGCAGAATGGCCAGCCGTTGACGTCCGGACTGCTATTATGACATCCAAGCATACGGAACCACTTAGGCGTACAAGTCAAAATCCCTTCGTCCATTTGAAGTATCGATCTGTGTGAATAATTAAAACGAAAAAGAACTAGCTTCTTTTTGCAGAATACATTAGCTTAAAATCATAACATCATTATCATCAGCATCTGCTGCAGTCGTTGCAGCAACAGCATGATGATGATAGTCATTATCATCAGAAGCAATAGGTTCATGATAAATCAAATCACTCATTCTCTATCCACTGTGCATTCCATTATGGCACGCAGTACCTTTATACATTATAAGCGAACTGCAAGCTCAAATTGTAAATGTTTATGCTCTATCTTTACCCATATGAATACCTAAGGTCCCATCCATTGACAACTAACGCTAACTCCTAAACTACTACTTTCACCCTTAGACTTCAAGCACTACCCCGAGACAATTAGCCGTGTCACTAGTCCACTATCCCAACCGTTATGCCACTAGCCCCACCTCGAGACGACCAGTAGCATCACTCCTATACAGACCTCGTTAAGCGCGACCCCACAGAACGCTGATTCGTTATAGCGCTTTTTGTCTTGGATAAACAACATTTATTGAGAGTACGCAGCAGCGCTGGCCGAGGAAATGTACCCACCCCCATCATTCACTCAGCCAATGAGAGCCCACGCACGCTCTCTGCGAACCAGATCCCACCCCCTCCCCCCGTGATTCGATTATCACGATTCGTCGTCATTATCGCACATCGTATGCATGTGCAGTGACTTAGAATCGGTCACTTAGCAGCATAGCTCTGGTTGCTGGCAGTGAAGGGGATCTGCAGCTACAGCAGCCCTGACTGACAGCAGGTCACGTGATAGACCAGAGAGGGATGTAGGGGAAAGGTTACGGAAGGGGCACATCGAGAACCCGCTAGTAGGTTCCAGAAGGGGGCGTGGCCAGGGGCGGAGCCAGGCCGCGCTGACAGTAAAAGAGGGATCCCGGGAGGGGAGCTCGGGGCTGTCGTGTGGAGTGGGGGGGGGGGGTCCCCGTCGTGCTGCTGGAGTCTTCGCCGTCATCTCCGTCTCCACCATCTCGGCGTCGCCAGTCCGAGGCAGTCTGCCAGCTGTCCTCACTGGGAACCGTAGTTACCAAGTGTGAACTGTTAAGGCCGTGTTAATAAACAGAGTGCCGCCTACTCTAAGTGTCTCTGAGTCAGTCACTACACATGTATGCAGTGACGGATTCTCCTAGTAGCAAAAGTAGCTACGCATGCTACGGGCCCCACACTTTCAAGGGCTCCGCGCTAAACGCTTCCAAGCTATAATTTCCGGTTCAGTGATTCTGCACTTGTTCCATTACTATAGTACTATACTGCCTTCGACTTTTTTGAACGGCTGGGTGTTTAAGGTTAGCGATTTGTAGTATTATCTGGCTGTGTAGCAAATGAAAAAATACAATTACTTTACTATGCAAGTAAAACATTTGTTTTTTTATATTTTTATTTTTTATTTAGGACTCCGTTATAACATATGCTACAGGCCCCGCACTAGCTTAATCCGGCACTGCATGTATGTTGAACTTCTTTCACACCGTACGTCGCCAACCGTACTAATCTGAGGTGTGGGGGGAAGGAGAGCTCCTGCAAACTCATCTCTCCCCACTGCCACATGGGAGTACAGTAGAATGCATTATTGAGTTCGGTTCAACATATTTACTGATGTTTTGTAATAAATCGTTTTTATTTGCGGAATAATCTTTACCGTCTGTATTATTTGTATTATTCACGGCATTCCCGATACCCCAAATGAAGCCCTCATATATTACTTAATACGAACAAATACCGCTGTGGTGAACGCACCCCCATATATACGAGCCGCCACGGTGGCGAGATGTTAACTACCTCGCCTGGAATACAAGAGGTCGTGGGATCGATCCTGACCCTGACGTCTGGATATTTGGAGTTTGCGTGTTCTCCCCGTGGTCGCGTGGAATTTACTCCGGGTCGTCCGGTGTTTCCCCGCACATTTAGAAACGTGCGTTTAGAGTATTTGGCCGATATACATTTCCACGTGATAAGCCACTTCGTTGAGCTATCATCTTTGGCCAGGTCGCTTTTGAAAAATAACTATATAGCTCAGCTGTCTTAACACTTTCGTGACTGCAGGAATTCATATTCTTTGGTTCTTTCGGTAAAGACACGTAGATATAAAAATAAAAATAAAATGAATTAAAAGAAAATAATAAAAACAAAAAGCACTATTGTAGACTGTAGCCTGGTTCTTAACCTCGGTGAGCGTACTGGCAGTCTATAATGTAGACTGTAGCCTGGTTCTTAACCTGAGTGAGCGTACTGTCTACATTATTTAATGTAGACATTATATACTGCCAATACGCTCGGGTTAAGAACCAGGCTACAGTCGACATTATATACTGCCAGTACGCTCACCGAGGTTAAGAACCAGGCTACAGTCTAAATTATAGACTGCCAGTACACTCACCCAGCTTAATAACCAGGCTATAGTCTACATTATAGACTGCCAGTACACTCACCAAACGTAATAACCAGGCTACAGTATACATTATAGACTGCCAGTACACTCACCAAACTTAATAACCAGGCTACAGTATACATTATAGACTGCCAGTACACTCACCAAACTTAATAACCAGGCTACAGTCTACATGATAGACTGCCAGTACACTCACTCAGACTAAGAACCAGGCTACAGTCTACATTAGTGGTTTATTTATTTATTTATTTTATTTCTATCTGTGACTTTACCAAAAGAACCAAATAATATATAGCTCAGTGTGTAAACATCAGCAACTGGGGAGACAAATGCAGCCGGGCGTGTTGTTGGCCATCCACCCCGTCGTGTGCAGGTCGGGGCGAGCAGTTTGGAAGTTCGGAGCGTCGTGTGGAAGGGGAACGCAAATGTAGACTCAATCAGGTAGAGCGGGTCGTGAACATGATGGGGCACGTGAACAGAGTGGAGTCCGATAAGCACACTTGGCTACGTACGGTGCGAAAGAAGTTCAACATACATACATAGAAGGGCAGGTTACCGACAGCATCTGAAAGCCAGACAGTGGGACACCGCAAGAGGGAACTTTGGGGGTCAAGCGTCGACTGTGCAGCCAGTGCAGAAGCTGGCAAAAGGAAGGAGTGACAGCAGGACATGCAAACATCTATGGCATTGCCTGTGATGACTTCTGTGTCATTGTAGATTTCACAGTTCATAATGTTGAATCCTTTTTGATTGCTTAAGTAGGTTATTTGATAAATATCCATACTCTTTGGTTCTTTCAGTAGAGTATGGATTCCTGCAATCACGAAAGCTTCCAATCAATATTGATAAATATCGTTATTTCTTTTCTCATATACACTTTGCACTTTGTCCAGCTCTCTCCCTGGCGAGACAAATGTTTGATATCAATGGGTTCCAACCTCGTAACACAACTCCAAGCGCTACTCTGTCTCATCTGGCCAGCTGGTGGCGCTTTGAGTCGAGCACTCAACTCACACATCGGAAAGGTTGTGAGTTCAACTGCAGATCGGGAGCCAACTCTGCCTGACCATCCTGCAGGGGTGAAGACTACGGCTACCGCTCTGTGCCAGTTCAACAGCAGTCGTCCTATGCAGAGACGGGCCCCCTTCCATGGGAATGTGGAATTTCCACCAATGACTTACAGCTGCCAGGTGGTGCTGGGTAATGCTGAGGTTATATTATTTGACCAGGTAAGGGTCACTGAGCTTTCTAGCTCTTTTTCAGAAGTGACCTGGCCACAAAGGACAGCTCAATCGGGTGACTTATCGAGTGGAAATTCATCGCGTGCGGTGCCCAAAATCACCTGGTACCCCCTGAGCAATGCCGCCCTGGCTCAGCAGCAGTAGAGAGGCCAGAGTGGGATACACATTGGAGACTGCGCTTTACACCATTGGACCTGCTAAATACATTTTAAGAACGTTTCCCGATTAATTGTGTTCACATTTGCACACCAATGGCTACCTATCAGCTACTGGTCCGATCCCGACCCTGACGCCTGTATATTTGGAGTTTGCGTGTCTCTCTGACCGTGGTCACGTAGATTTTTTCTCCGGGTCCTCCGTTTTTTCCTCTCCGTTTAGAATCAACATCACGCGTTTAAAGTATTTGGCTACTGCTATACATTTCCACTTCGTTGAGCTATCGTTTGTGATAGCCAAGTCGCTTCTGAAAAAAGCTACATAGTTCAGTGGGCCTCAACCTGGTAAATACAAAAAAATATAAAAATAGGACCCATTCTTGTCGTGACCTTTCGCGTCCCTTCTCACTAGCCCCTCCCCTTAATCACCCTGACCCCACCCCGCCGTGTCTAGCCCCGCCCCCAGTGCCTAGCCCCGCCTACTTGTTATTAGCCCCGCCCTCATCTGGTCTAGCCCCGCCCTCATCTGGTCTAGCCCCGCCTCCCCCGCGTGCCTAGCCCCGCCCTGTTCGTCTGTGCTCCCTCCCCCTTGTCGCTAGCCCCGCCCCTCCCTCGCCCCGCCCCGTTCCCCCCGGGCTGCCCACGTTGATGAAAGGGGAAGTTTCGCGGCTCGGCAGCGCAGAGGGGAGAGTGGGGAGAGGTGACAGGGAGAGGTGACAGGGAGAGAGAGTGGGGAGAGAGAGTGGGGAGAGGTGACAGGGAGAGGTGACAGGGAGAGCGTGAAGTTCAGAGAGAGAGGAAAAGGGGAGCGAGAGGAAGAGAGAGGGAAGACAAGGGAGTCTGCAGCCACGGGTGGCTGTGTGGAGGAGTGGCTGTGTGGAGGAGTGACTGTGTGGAGGAGTGGTTGTGTGGAGGAGTGACTGTGTGGAGTGAAGGGAGAGGCAGGGAGGAGAGGGAGGAGAGAGGGAGTAGAGAGGGAGGATGTCTCTCCGCGAGGAGCTGCTCAAGTCCATCTGGCACGCGTTCACTGCGCTGGACGCGGACAAAAGCGGGAAGGTGTCCAAGTCTCAGCTCAAGGTGAATTACACCACCACTACCACCACCCTTCATCATCATCATCTACACCATCATCATTTACAACATCATCATCATCTACATCATCATCATCTACAACATCATCATCTACATCATCATCATCATCTACATCATCATCATCTACATCAGCATCATCTACAATATCGTCATCATCATCATCTACAACATCATCTACAACATCATCATCATCTACAAAATTATCTACAACATCATCTACACCACCACCCTGCATCGTCATCATCTACAACATCATCATCTACAACATCATCATCTACAACATTATCATCTACATAATCTGCAACATTATCATCAACATCATCAGTATCAGCAAGATCATCTACAACATCATCTACATCATCTACAACATCAACATCAATCTGGGACCTTTTTTGCCAGTATGAAAAGAAAGAATAGATATTACCCTCTCCGGCAATAAAACAGTTGTGTTAAGATGTTTAGACACCAAACAGAAACCTTTTTCAAGGAAGACAGAATATACAGATAGGATTCCTTGGCAAAGGTCTCTGTTTGGTGTTTAAACATCTGTTTTATTGCCGGAAAGGATAATACCTATTCTTATAACATCAACATCATCTACAACATCATCAACATCATCACCATCAACATCGTCAACAAGATCTACAACACCGTCAACATCCTCATCGACAAGATCATCAACAGCATCATCAATAAGATTATCATCTACAACACCATCGTCAACACCATCAGCACGGCCAGCAGCTAATAGCAGTGATGGTTGCCAGAGTCGATGCTTTGGTCAAAGCCCTCAACCCTGCCTTGCGAAGGCATCATCAACGTCATACGGCCATGTTCAATCCACTGCTGGACGAAGGCCTCACCAAGCTGCACCTGCTCCACCCAAACCGACTCAGTCGCACTCCATCTCCTCGGTGGGAGCCATCTCGGACGATTGACTTCTTCATTGCCTTGGCTGGCAAGGGGCGAGAGGAATTGAAATTCGTATCTCGGGTGCACTCAGATAATCAGTCCGCCCCCACCACATATTAGTCCAGCAATCATGATCACATCATCTTCATCGTCGTCAATCATCAATCACCATCAGTCTGTCACCACCACATTATATCATCAGCTATCAATCATCGATCGTCAGTATCAAGTGTCTTTCAGCACCAGTCATGTATCATTGGTTATCATTATCATCAAACACTTTATTTGGCGATGTTGCGTTGACAGTGGCGGTGTGAAATAGGGCCATGGCCCGAAACGTCGCCGACTGTATTGTATACACTCTATATATTTTACGGCAGTGTTGAGTGTTTTTGTTGTTGTTATCATCGTGTTATCATCATGATCGTCAGTGAGTTCTGGCCTGGGTTTCGTGCGACTAGTGTGTTGTTTATGGCGAAGTTAAATGTCACACATTCCCTCCACCCTGCGATGTCCATGGGCCACTGCCACTGTTTCTTGGGGCTGTCCGTGGTCGGCCTGAATTGGTCTGCGATAAGGTAGGGCACTGATAAGGGGTTGACAGTTATGGGATAACACTGCAGTAATTAACCAGGGTAGCCGCGGGATTCGAAGCAGCGGCGAACATGACGCCTACCTGTACCACCAAGGCCGTCGCGAATGCCATCATCCTCGCTGGGTGGTTGTCTCCTGTGAGTATGCCTGGGAAGTAAACGATGGTTGTTCTATTGAGATACCCTCCCCCCCACCACCCCCTTTCCATGGGAATGTGGAATGTCCACCGCTGTCTCGGGAGCATCTACGAACGAGATGCAACTTGTTGTTGTTTGGGACAATTTTATAAATGCAGAATTTGTTTTAGAGACATTTTTTTACGTTTGTTTAAACCGCAATAGCGTTGCGATTCAACAACAACAACATTGCCACCTAGAGAATAATATTGAATACAGCATGCACATCGCTGTATTGTGATGACTACGTCCACTGAATCTGTGAACTGTACGTATGCCACATATTTGTGTTCCATCGGTCATAAAAACGTGACACGAACGTAAGCGGGATGTTAGAGGGAAGCTGCCGAGCGTAGCTTCCTGTGTGTTTTCCTGTTGGCCTGCTTGCCAATTGAATGTTCTCTAGCCCCCAGCATGGGTGGACTATGGTAGGAATGCACTCTTACAATACTGTGTTCATTTATAGATTCGCCGTGTACTCATTTAATGATATCCATGCTTTATTGGAGATGGTGTCAACTCCTGTTGTACGTATGTATGTTGAACTTTTTTTGCACCGTACGTAGCCAACCGTCTAATCGGAGGTGCGGGGGAAAGGACAACAAACTTAACACAAAAAGCAGTTCTACAGAAATTAGTTTTCAATTTTGATTTAAAAGTGTTTAGATCCAGTGGCTTCCGAATATCAGAAGGAAGAACGTTCCAGAAGGCCGCAGAAGCGCATCTGAACGCGCGCGATGCGGTGACCGTCTTTGTTTGGTGGCTCGCAGCCAAAATCCGACGCTGCTGTGAGGATGACCGGAGTCCACGTGATGGTTTATGCTCCTTGACGAGATCGGCAAGGTCTGGTGGTTCATTTGTGGCAAGCACTCCGTGTGTAATGAGTGCGACTCCAGCAGCCATGATCTAGCCACTGCTGGATGAAGGCCCTCTTAAGTGGTCGTCATCATCATAATCATCCCTCGTGGTACGACCACAATCCATCTACAAGATCATTCCATCTCCTCTCGTTGACGCATTCCCTCCACTGGCTGCCACTCCTTCACGAGTCTCGACCAATCGGGCGTCGTCCCATCCCGCAAAGTGTCCCGCTGAAGTTACTTTTCGTAACAGTCACTGTGATGCGAAGACTTCCCATTTGTTCTCTAATACAAAAGGGTTCCTCTTTCTGTCTCTCTGTGTAACCCCATGCATTCCAGGCCTCGCTCTTATGCGTACACGTTTAAGCTCTTGTTCCGTTTTCTTTGTCAGCGTGTGTGCTGTATTTCTAACACACATATATGTGTGTACGTGGTTAAACGTCTTATTCGTTTCACGTTTCGTTATTGCATTCACTTTTTCAAATCCACTCTTCCACATCTTAATTGTTTTTTAAATACCAGGCCACGTTCACTAACTGCCCTCGGTGCACACCCACTCTGCTGTGTCTTGTCCGTCAGACATCATTAGGGGCCGTCCATAAATGACGTCACGCACCTGTGGGGGGGGGGTGGGGTCAGACATTTGTGACGATGGGGGGGGGGGTGAGAAATGTGACGTCACATCAAAATGCGCAACTTTAAATAAATAAACAACACGTTCTACTTAATTAAATAGACGTTTTAATCAATGCTTTCTCCTACAACATCAGAGTGCAGCGCCACATTAAATACGCACTAAAATGACAACAGTTTAAAGCGATTTGAAGCATGTTTTATTTTGGAGGGGGGGGGCAGACCTTTGTGACGTCGTATTTGAGGGGGGTCTGACTTTTTGTGACGCCGTGTTACGAAGGGGGGGGGGGGTCAAAAATCGTCCAAAATCGCGTGACGTCATTTATGGGCAGCCCCTTAGTCGTTAAGCACATTCGTTGTACACTGTAGAACTTTTATTTTGCTCATGGTCGTCTTTGTTAAGTTCTTTACTGCGAGACATTTTATTTGTATTCAATGTATTGCCCACGGTACACCACGGGGAGGGGGGGGGGGGTAGAGTCCAGGATTTGATGAATGGGGGGAAAGAGAAATGACCAGGAAAGGGATGCTGGGTTGGAAGTCCTCAAGACACACAAAGGGGTAGAGCTCAAGACGAGCTGCAGGAAGAGAGAATGAGCGCCAGAGAGGAAGGGGAGGGGGTGGATAAGTTATCACCGGGCCAAGAAGTCAGAGATCTATGTATGTTGAATTTCTTTCGCACCGCACGTACCCAGCCGTGCTAATCGGAGAGATGAGAGGGTGATGAGAGCGGAGGGAAGAGAGGAGGCACAAGCACAATTTAGCTGCACGGTGGAGCAGCGTCTGTTCTCACAGTGGGCGGGGAGAGCGGAAAGGGATTCAGAGTGGGAGTGGCTACATAGAAGTCACGTGGATACATAGAAGTCACGTGATTTATGGGACGCTTGAGCTGATTTACAGTGAGATAATGACTATCATCAGACAGTCTGAGATTGTTATTATTCTCTCTTTTGTTTCTCCAAGTTATATTGGAGGAAAACGCCTCCTAATGCCGCAAATGGGTTTGGCAAAAGTGATCCCTTCTCGCATACACGTTGGTACTTCATTGATGACATCTCAGTGTCGCGGTTACATTTTGTAAAAAGGTTTTTGTTGTTTCTAAAAATATATATGTTGATGCCGTGGCTTTTGAGAGCCAACGCGTCATCTCCATACATTGTAATTTATCATCGTTAAATTGTTGCACGCTGCTATCCGGCCTGGTGAAGGAGTGGCGACGGAAGGTTGCTTCACAAACGAAATTGTGCGAGGTTTCAAACCCTGGTCAGGGATTGACTCGGCCTCATGATGCCGATGTTGTCGACACAATGAGAAGCCCGCAAACAAAATGGGAATGTGGAATGGACACCGTTGGAGACGAGCTTAGCGCGACTTTCATTTGAGCGAGAAGGCGATCTGACTGGACATTACATTCGTACCTCTTTCCAGCTTTTTACAATTATTCATAAGTACAATTGAAGCAATATTTTTTGTCGCGTAAGACCCCAATTAGTGTAACCTTGTGATGTCGCTGCATTACTCATGTTTGTTGCGACCGCAGATCTGCTCTTTTCTTTAAATCTTCGTGCGATACAGTGTGTCCACAGTGCCCTGCGAAACACAATTTATAAGTAAGATTTGATGATGAAAAAAAAACATCACAATAATCAGCATCATCGCAAATCCACTGCTGGATAAAGGCCTCCCCAAGGCGCCGCCGCCGCAGTGTCTCACAATCCTGTGCGATAGCTCAGTCCACCACGTGGTGCACTTGCACGTGGCGCACCTGCACACGTGCTGGACATTGTTGTCAGCCGCGTTCCGCCCCGTG